TAAAAATTTTTTGTAATTTAACAAAGCCCGAAATTTGATGTAAATAGAAAACTAGCTTACAACGATGATAATTTATACTTTAATGTTATAAAAGTTATTTCATATTGGAATGATTAAATCATTTAAAGTCGACTCTCGACTTCTACTATTGAAGAAGGCTCCATCCATATTTTTTCCCCATCAAATGCTGCTTGTAAAACATCATAAACATTATCAGCATATACGATTCTAATATTTTCTTTTACATTTACTGGTACATCTCCGTCAACATCTTTACGATTTCGTGAAGGCAGGATAACTTTATTAATGCCAGCACGATGTGCTGCAATAATTTTTTCTTTAATACCTCCTACGGGGAGCACTTGACCACGTAATGTAATTTCACCAGTCATAGCTGTTTTAGAAGGCACACATCTATGTGTAAATAAGGAAACAAGAGCTGTTATTAAGGCGACACCCGCAGATGGACCATCTTTCGGTACTGCACCAGAAGGAAAATGTATGTGAATATCTTTTTGAGAGAAGAATGTAGATTCTGTAGATGCCGTCGTAATGCCCAACTGGAATGAATGTGCCCGTACCCACGAAATAGAGATTTGAGCGGATTCCTTAATAACTTCACCCAATTTGCCTTTTAAATAAAGCAGTATTAATAACTAGGACGGTATTCTCAGCCCGTAAACGACAGAAGAATAAATTAATGATTAGTGGGAAAGCATTTACCTGTCAACTGAAGATTGCCTTTTCCGGGCATTTGAGTAGCTTCAATGAACAAAATACCGCCAGAACCGGTTGCTGTCCATGCTAGTCCTGTGACAACACCAGGTTTTGTCATACGTTCAGCTATATCATCATCAAATTTTTCCACCTTTAGTATAAAAAGTTTAGTAAATACTCATAGTAAAGATGTAATAAATGGCATGTGTATAGATAATTCTCACCCCAAGAATAGTCACTATGTCATTTATAGTAACTTCTGAACGATATGTATTCGTTTTTCCATTATCATTTGCATTAGCATATTCCACTGCCTTAGCTCTACATATTCCGGCAATCTCTCTCTCCAAGTTCCTAACACCGGCTTCACGTGTATAACCAGTAGCAATTTTTAGCAAGTCGTCGTCGGTATTTTTAACATATTCGGGCTTTATGCTGTGAGTTGCTATTTGTGTTGGTAATGAAGGTCGTTTAGC